TTTTCATTTATTTGTTACAAGAAAAGTTTGAATCACATAAGTATTTTCTGGGGATTAGTATTACAATTTGTAGGAAACTTATTTTCTTGGAAATTTTCATACTAATTCCAGGAAAATGTCCATGTAATTTACATTTTTCTTGTAGTAATTCTTCTTTTTTTCCTCAAAATGGTTTCTTATTACTATGAAAAAGGAATAACTTCAAGTCTAGAAGATGTAAACAATAGGAAATCACTGCTTAAAATTGCTACACGAAATCTGAAAGTGACGAAGAAGGCTTAAGTTTTCTTGAGTTAAGTTATTTTTTCTCACGTGATGCTTCATTACATATGGTGTATTTATAGATAAAGTGTGAGAATCACAACCACATAATAAGCAAAATATCTCACACCAAACTATGTACCTATGAGACTCACTAACCACCCCTCATTTTAAATATAGACTAACATATCTAATACTAAATATCTCCAACCTGGGTGTTTCTAGAAAATTCATACTTCTCTAACATATATACTACAAAATATCTCAAATCTAGGAGTTTCTAGAATAATCTTAATTTTCTAAGATTTCTTCATTATTAGGTTTCCTCTCCAAACCTTGAGATTCTTTTGAAAACAATCTTTCTACCTTCACAAGTTTGAGTGAAGGTCCTCCGCGTATTGTTTCTCCTTTATATCTATGGTTTTCAGGCTAGTTTGCATGAACCTCTACTAAATTGACAATATAAATTTCTTAAATTTAGGTATAGGTTCGAATAAATATATAACCGATGCTCTACATCTACATTTGGCAGATATTAGGATTTAAGCATATGAGTTCGACTTTGGAATTCTATCATGGTCCTTTTCATTTACTCACGTGAAGGTTTTGACTGAAAGCTACTACAATTCAATCCAAATCCCATGAACATAAAAATATGTCTCTCTACAAAGTATACTTTTGGAAAAGATATGGGTTATGTTTAATTATTTCTGCTTTCAGTATTTCTGAGACCCCTCCTCAATATTAATGTTGAATCTGACCAAATAGAGTGCGAGTGGAAATCTAATTCGAGAATTTTTCCTCAAGAAGTCCTCCATTTCTATCTTTAAATATAAATAATTTCAAAGTTTTGTTATCGTGAAATTGTTCATCAAGATGCGTCACCTATACACTATCAGGCCGCTCCTCTTTATCGTTGTTGTAATAATGTTTTCCTCAGCTTTAACATCCTCACCATCTATCTTGTGTAGAAAATGAACAACTTTTTCTTCCTTTCGTGTTTGAAGTATCAATTGTGTTTAGGTTTTTACATGTCATTCTACTTTGTGTTCTCCTATTGGTTTTTTTTGTATCGCTCTTTTGCTGTAGTAGGTGAATCGGTAATCCATGCGAGCTAGTTAGATGTGTGGGGTGTTTTTTAGAGATGATTTTATGCTTTGATGATTTAACAATTATAGGGATCTATCAAAGGACCAGATCCTTGTTTTTTGGCCTAACAACAAGGGAAATTAATGAATAAACAGCGTGAGGAATGTTTGTGTGTCATCATCAAAAGTGGAAAATATTGTATTCTAGGTGTTTTGATGATCCTCATAAATGCAGGGACCTGAACCTTAGCAGAGTGCTCTCGTCTATATTCAAAATCGTGTATAGTGTTAAAGTTGTATGTAAGGTTGGTTGGTGAAAATTTCAACATAATTCACCAATAGGAATTATACGAGGTTGTTTGATTCAGTGGTCAAAACTCTTGTTGTTGAATGATATACATAAAAATTAAAAAAAATCATTCATTCAAAATGAGAGAGATCTAGCAAGTCCTTTCAAGAACTCACAAAGAAAATATTGCAAGGGCCCTAGTCCCAGAAAGACTGCATAACTGAAAAAGGTGAAAAGACAACTATCTAAAAGCTGTCACATCTGACATGGTTGGTGTACTACTTTTTAGAAAAGCAGGGCTCTAAGCTAATGTTATTATCCCAAGAGTTTTTTGTTCATTTGATATAGTGTCTTCTCACAAGACACAAACTCAAGATTTGGCAAACAAAGATTTGAATTTCTGAACTTCATAAGCATACAAAGAGAAAGCCTTCTTCAATATGAACACATACAACAAGGGACCTTATAAATTGAAGAAGTGGTATCTATGTGTTATGTTGTTCTTGAATGCTTGTAATATTCTAAGCTTTTAGGATTCATTTCACTCTTATAAGAAATATTTCAAACTCTTGTCTGTGTTGAGGGTAAGAACACTGTTAGATTTAACTTTGTGACTTACAGTTTGAAGTTTCTATTAATTACTGATAGTTAGTATACTGGGAAATTGATGTAGTACATTGGCTCAGTAAGTAATAGTAGTATTACTTAGTGTGGGACTAAAAGTTTAATTTCACTGTTGTGGTTGTAATATATATTAACTTTTTCTTTAGATAACTGAAAAAATTTGAAAATTCTATGTGACAAGTCGTGGTTTTACTCCCTTGAACAAGAATTTTTTCACGTCAACTCTTGTTACTTATTTATATTTTGATATTTATTTTCCGCATTTTAATTTTGTCAAGGAACATGCTTAGACGATTACTGGTGAACGCATACATTCTAACATGAAGGTAGAGGGACTCACATTATCTCCTTTGGTTGATCTATCCTTTCCTTCACTTTGTATTTAATCACCTACTAAAGAGGAAGGTTTTGAGACTTACTAAGCCAAGCCGTGGACTCTTTTAATAGCTAGGAAAAGAAGGGGCCTAAGCATGACAAATGTTGTACAGTTCAGTGGCAAAGGATTTTAAACTTTCTTAGGGAAGATACAGTTGCATTGTTTACAACATGCAGTGAACCTTAAAAATTCTCATTCTATGACCTTTTAGTTGTACCTCAAAAAAATCCTCTTTACTTTTTTCAGAACAGAAGCTTCTCGATTATGACGTCATAGAAAACTCCACCCTTCATGCTTAGATTTTCGATTGGCTCAAACTACTTCTAAAGTTAAGCAAACAATCTCTGGAGTTCAGTCACCTCCCACTCGTGGATATGGTCTTAAACCTCAAATCCAAAAGTGTCGTTCCATGCCTCGTGCACCAATCTTGCCCCTCCGAGTCTCCTCTAGGCTACATTTCTCTTTTCGCGCACCCTAGTTACATCCTATGTACTTCAAACAAGTGGTGGATGTATCTATAAACAATGTGAATATTAATCTGTTTTGTGTACGAGTCCATCAAAATCTCAAAAAAAAATGAATACATAATTTTGAAGTGTATCGAGTTCAACTCTAAGAAATTTATAGATCAAACTCATCAAGTTTAAATTCTAGATTTGTCTATGCTTATTGTTTCTGACAATGCTAGTTTACAAATTTGATTAGTACGATTCCAATCATAAGCTTTAATAATAGAATGTTGTCTTCCGTTGCCTATTAGATTTAATTAATTAGTCTCGCGGATTGGAGTTCCAGTTCTGAATGTTTAAAACATAATTAAGTAAATAATTGTATATTTTCTCTAACTAATTAAATTCATAGATGATTACATGATCACAAATATTCAAATTTCTCCACCAATAATATATCAGAAGAAAATATCACATGCTTGAAACAGAATAAAATATATAATTGATTAAATTAAAGTATACACTCTAAATATGATATATTTACATGTGATTGAGAATTTAGGAGTTAAACCATGCAAAATGTGAACATCTTGAAATACATCATAATAATTTCTTTTAATATTTCAAGATATCAAAGTTAAACCTTAATGTGTATGATCATCTTTTACCATTAATGAAGAATTAAATTTAGTTTTTACGAGGCATAAAATTATAACATTATGAGATTATTGTTTGTGATTTAAGAGGTGTGAATTGAAAATAAAAGGTTGTGACTATTTTGAAGAGTTGTGAGTTTTCTGGAAGGAAATGTGTTAAAATATAGTTTCTAAACCAAAAAGTTAAAACTAGTAAAGAAAATATAAAGTGCAACAAACGAGAAAAAATATTGAAAAGAAGAAACTCTAGTCTTTTGAATGCACAATGCGTCCTTAAGAAAAAAAATTCCTCATGAAATATATTCTCTCAGGATAAAATGATCTTACTCCTCGGTAAATTTGTACCTTAAACCAAAGTGTAAGTGAATCACTCAACAGGAGTAAAGTATACTAAAACTAATTATTAACGCAGAATAAGAAGAGGTTCTCAAAATTCATTATGTAAAAAATGAGAGGAAACCCTCTATTTATAGATATCAAAGGGTAGTGTGAATATGTGCTTATAGGGCCTTACTAGAAAGTTCACAATCCTTTGAAAAAATCACAACTTGTCTAAAGGTCACAATCCTTCGAAAATGTCGCAAGCTCTTAGAAAACTCAAAACTCTTCGAAAAAATCACAACTCTCCAAAAAAGTTACAATTTTTTAAAGAATACACTACTTTCATTTTTCATTCCACCTTTTAAAATTCAAATGTAGATCACAATGTATACTTTTATTCATCTTAAAAACTAAATTTAGTTCTTATTAATGGAAAAAAATATTATAATCCATACTTTGAAGTCTTGAAATGGTGAAAAAACTAATCACGATGGATTTCAAGATTGTCACATGTTCCATGGTTTAACTCGTTAATTCTCAATCACATGTACATATATCATATTTAGAGAGTGTCTAATTGGATTTACTCAAGTAAATGCTTTTTTTGTGTCGTGAAATTTTTTTCTAATATATCTGGTGCTGAAATTTTAATGCATGGCCTTTGCATATGATCATCTCAACATAAAGCTTAATGCATTAGAGAGAATGCACAATTATTTACTTGATTATATTTTCAATAATTGGTGATGGAAATCCAATCCACCGGACTAGTTAAATTATCACGATCCGCAAGTAGACCCTAGAAGTTAGGGCGTCCTTGTGTAATCACACAGAAAATGAGACTTCAAGAAGTCTCATTAAGCCTCTCATATCATTCATTGCATAATAAACATACCAAAATGGGTAAGACTTTAAAACTTTCTTCACACACCAATAAATCTTTCATAAACATTATACAAGCGGAAAACTTTAATTTAACACATTAAATCTTTACAATATCTACTTGAACCATCTAAACTTTAGAGTTAACAACACTAAGAACTAAGCACATACAAGACATAAAGGAACATGTGGATATTGTCCTCGAATCGATGAGGATTCACCAATACATCATTTTCAAAGCCTTAGAAACCTGTACATCCTCCATGGCACATTAAGATTCCATTTCCCTACACTTTAGTTAAAAAGTAAAACAAGCGGTTAGCACATTAGATGTACTAAGTATGGAAGCCATCGAAAAACCATGAAAATAGGACATTTAGTAAATAGCGAGCTTTTCATAAATTTTGATTAAAACATCATAATATAAGCATAAAAATAACATTTGACAACTCAGAAACACATAAGAAATCACTTAAACAAATAATCACATTTTTATAAACCTTATAGTGAATTCACATCCGTGTACAGTAAAGTTCCTTCACTTCACTTTAAACACCCTTTAGCATGTAATCTTCTCACTCAAAGCTATCCTAAGACTCACATAAGTCACACAAAGAGATACCGCCTATACACCCTCTCTATATATTCCGAAACGACCCTCAAAATTACTTATAATGAGTCACATACAGAGTTACGAGACATTAACATAAGAACATGAGATTCTCCTACCAAAGGTGATTCTAAGTCTCACTTGAGTGAGTTGTGAAGCGACTGCCCATACAATCCCTTACACACACACTCAAGAGATCCTACAGACTACTTAAGATAGAATCATTCTTATTTAACACATTAGCATATAGGTGATATGACATTCTCCTTTCAAAGTCTATCAAAAGACATACTTAAGTAAATTAAGAAGATAAAGTCCATAGTGACCTCTTCAAGATTACTTAAATAATCCTTAAGATTACCTAACGCTTAGATCATGTCCATATAATGAACCAACTTCCCTATCTGGATTCATTCTTAAGTCTTATCAAGGTAAAATAAGAAGTGACAATTCCTATGCCCCCTTCACACCTTAACTAGACAACCCTTAATTACTCTAGATAAGTACTACTTCATTTTAACATACTTTGTTAACTTAAGTCATTACATTCACTAGTTCATTAATAAACATTCAACACAAAAAGGACATTCAAGTAATGGTCTTGAACATGACTTAGGGACTCTGACTAACACCTTCATAGCCTATTGTGCAATGTCTAGATAGCGTTCCATACCACGACCTAAACTTCATAGAACTTATCAAAAGCTAATAGGTATCCCACATGATGATAATAGGCATTAACCGACATTAACCATGTTATCAAAGCATGGAATCCGGATTTCTAACCTACTCCGATGAGAGTGTTCTAATAGCAAAAGGTAAAACTAGGACACATCCCATATAGGCACATGATTAAGGAATATGAAGGGCGTGATTTGTATTCTAGTCTTTTAGTTAACTAGAAATACATCCCTTACCATACTCACTTAGTGATAGACTTCGTTCTTATAGAGTAATTCACATTAAAGGGTACCATAACAAGTTCATAACCTAATCACATTTACCCTACCAAAGAGGACCTCTTACGGCTACCTTCCAATGGCGACAAGAAGCTCTTGATGACTTTCCTAAGGATTAATATGATGCCATTCCATCCAATTAACCTTAAGTCCATCATTCCTTTACTTGAAGGATACAATTATGACTTTCAATTTCAACATACATAACCTTACCACTAAGTTCAAGGTTTCACATAAAAGGCCCTCTTAACATCATTCAAGGTCACATATGAATTATACATTCAATACTAAGAGACTTAATCATTCTAAGTCAAGACATCATATATTCATACTCATACAAGCATCAAGTAAAGGACGCAAGTCAACCAAGACAAAACACCAGATACATCACCTTAACATATATTTCTAATCATTTTACAAGCACATATGAATAACCATTATCATCTTTAACTGATCCTACACACTACCATATAATTATAATTATAACCATTATGGACTCATATAGTCAAGTAGGAACAACCATGTATCAACCCTAAGACTACACATAGAAGCACATCATCATAGTTTACATGATTTCCTAAAATACATAACAAGTACACATACTTTCATATTCCTTTGCATATAGGCAGATATACTCATACTTCACATAAAACAACTATACAAAACATCATAGTACTTCAAGTAGTGCCGACAAGGCCAAAGTCGTCATATTGCATAAAGTAGTGCCAACAAGGACACATCAATTCCGATAGTCCCGCCGCCATAAGTGGACCATACAAATCACAACATAATTGAAGTATAATTAAAATTAATTAAAATGAATTAGGTCTTCATTACTCCACTCCATCTTACCACTTCGATTCCAAAGCTTATTCATCCAATTTGATACCATAAGACCCTTACCGATGGCCATGAACATCAATTCATTACACAAACTATAATACTCAATGAGATCTAAGTTAATTCATTATAGATATATCAATGTTAAACCAATTAGATATCAATTGAATAAAATTCTTAATCATTAGAAAGCCCTTAGAAATGTACACTAGAATCTATAAGCATTAAGTCAATATCAATTCAATAAGCTTAACATGCAATAGAGTTAAGAGTATTTATTATTCAATTAATCTAATTGAAGCAACCTATAAACAAATTAACCATAATATATACATGAATCCAAAGACCATAACAATCTACGCATGAATTTATGAATATCAAAGCATAATCAGTTCACCCATATTTTATTGAAATTGAGAGATTTGAGAAGATCAAGGGTTCATGGAGAATTTCATTGGAAAACATCAATTATACATCAATTTCATCATATATATATAAACGTCTTGAAACCATTTATGTAAGAACCCACGACTTAGAGTACAAATTCGACTTTTTCATCTTTTTGAAATATTTGAAAATCATTTTTGAAATTGGATCTAAGGTGATAGTAAGCATTAGATGAAGAAATCCCATACCTTATTTGAAGAATACAAAGTTAATTGAAGAAAAAATTCCATTAAAGACCCATCTTTAAGCTCCCTCTTCACTTTGAACTTACATGGAGGTTTTTGGAGGATGTTTAGGAGGGAATATGTTTTGATTTGGAAGAATGAAATCTTCTAAGTATTAATAACTTATATACCCTTTTAAAATACCCAATATACTATTAATAAACCTCCAATACATCCATTTAGATGTGGGGTGAATTTACAAGTTCACCCCTACCCATGGCAGTGAACAGCACACAGAAACAGGCCAATCGACGGACTGCCCATCGACGGGGAGTAGACCAAATTATGGGACGTGCTGGCAACCGTCGATGTGTTCAGAGGCTTGGAATAGGTTTCTTTTCAACTCAAGATAAGTACATACCCACGCCCACCACTTACGGGGCGTCGGATAGGCTACTTGTCGTCGATTGCCTTTCTTAGGTGGACTGCCTTTTGGCAGTTTTGGCCACCAACCTGGGTCCTTCCTCAAGGACCCTTGGATGGTCCTTGGGGATTATTTCTTGGATGATTCCAACCCAAATACGATCATATATAAGTTTAACACCTATCACATAAATTTCATCCAAAACGAACATGTGATACTAGATGAAACATTCCTAGACACACAAGGTCATTTCAAGGAACTTCTTTTGAACTTCATGGACGTTTGACCTCCAAACTCCACAAAACTCGACACAATTTCTATACATGTTATAATAAATCATTTATAGACCTTAAAACCTCATTAATAACACAATAGAAAATAAAACCACATATGAGGCACATAGGTGACTTAGTCATCGAATGTCTTAATAGTCCCTTGACTTTTTACTTCCGATACACCTAATACTTTAGCTACTACCTCTATACCATATATTAGACCTATTTAGACCTTAGAACATCAAGCCAAACATTTTAGGATCTAGTTCACCTAAGTCATTTTTGGGGTCTTGTTAATAAATGATAAAAGGACAGATTTACCCCTGAACTTTGAAAAATGATACATATATGCCCTTCATTATTCTTTGTGTTCACCTAAGTGCCTCCCGTCCAATTACAGGTACATACATACTTTTCTAATAGTCACAACTTTAGTTTTTTGCAGCTTGAAAAATCTCTCAAGAACTCTTACAAAGGTAATCAAAAAGTAAAGATTCATCATCAAGATCAAACTCAAACAAGATAGAGTTGCAAGCTTACTGGTCTTGGGATATATTCTTCTTAACATATATTATAAATGTGATCCTAAATCTATAGAGGCCTAATATAGTTATTTGGTACTACATTCTAAATTAGTTAGAGGTAACTTATTTAGTGGGCAGTGTTGTATTTGTCTAGGGAAATTCTGAATCATATAAGGTTAGGTGTTTTAGTTGGCACTGTTGTGTTTGCTAAGGAAAATTCTAGGTTATCTAGCTGGTTAACACAAAAAATATACATATGTCAAAGAATGGCTACTCAGTTGAACCTAGAACAGGGAAAATCATAAACACGACAACCACATTTCAATGGGAAGTTCTATATCTGATGGAAAACAAGGATGCACGATTATCTACTGGATGGAGACAACGAACCATGGGACATAATGTTGGATGGACCCTTAATTCCAACTATTGAAGTGAAGTATGTTGAAATAATAGAAGTTGTTCCAAATATTTGGCAACATTACAACGAAGCAGACAAAAAGAAGATTGAGAAAAGCTACGAAGTAAAGAAGATTCTAGTGTGTGGGATTGTTGCTGAACAATATAACTTGGTTTTTGCATGTGAATTAGCAAAAGAAATCTAGACTAGCGTAGGAATGCACATGACGGCACAGAGCTTGTAATGGAATCAAAGGTGGACATGTTCACCACCCAATATGAGAATTTCACAATAAAATAAAGAGAAACTATTCATGATATGCATACAGAACTCTCATCCATAACCAGTGAGCTACAAAGTTTGGGTGACCCTATAAATTCCAACAAGCTAATGAGGAAAGTGCTTCGAGTTCTTCCGAAGTCTTGGTCAAGCAGAGTGGATGCTATTATTGAGGCTTAGGATCTAAGTATTGACAATGGATACTCTTGTTTGAAATATTAAAACCCATGAAATGAACAAAAAACAATACTTCTCAAAGAATGAATCCAAAAAATACAAGTCTCCGATCCTCAAAATTTCATTTGGTGAAGCCTCTAGTGAATAGGATAACATGGCCTATCTTACCGGGAAATTTCATAAAATTGTTAGA